TCAAATTTGATCAAAAACCAGCCAAATTTGATCAAATTTGATCAAAATTGATGCAAATTTGATCAAATTTGCTTTTTCGAAGCTGCCCAGAAATCAATACCGGAATCAATATCAAAATCAATATGATTTTCAATATTTTTGGCAAATCAAAAATATTGATATTTTTTCGGTTTATTGATTAGGATCAATATCCGATGCTCAGGGAACCATTGAATACTCCTACAGTGAGAAGGCTCGCGACATGGAGTCCAAGGCGGTGGGAGGCCGGTTGAGTTTGGAAGAGCAGACAACAGTTGGCGGTATCACAAGGCAGTTTGCAACGCTGATGATTTGCCCTGATCTTTTGGACCATGTCAAAAGCGAAGTGGAGAAAGAAGCTTCTTTGGCAAAGAACATCAGGAAGGCGCGAGAGGAGCGGGAAGCGGCCCGCAAGGGTGGCAAAAAGGGCAGAACCTGGCCGGAGCTCAGATGATAGACGATGTCCTCGAGATATTTTTCCAATACCGCCCATGCGTGTTTCAGAATTTGTTTCCGGCTGCAAGTCTCGCAAAGCACAGCAGAGGAGAGGCCGTCGGAGGTTTATTGAGGCTGAGGTGAACAGAACTATAGATTCCCTCAATCAGATGTATGGAAGGCCTGGGTTACAGCATTGTGGAGGACTTGACTTGGAAAACTATGAGCTGAGTTCTGCACAGGTCCAGGGCTGGCCGTCCGGACAATCTCTCCGGCCCTGAGGCCCTCATGGAGCTTCGGGTTAGTGAAGGGTACGAGAACTTGCCGACGAGTCCCTGGCATCCTTTGATCCCGAATTGGTTTCGCTTCCCTCACCCTCTCACCGGTCCCCTTGGAGGATCTGCTTGGCCAAAACGGGCAACATGAGGTGAAGGAGTATTTCATCGAGCCAAACTCTTGCAGCGGCCCAGGCCCGGGAGAAGATGGAGGCAATGGGTTTGGGGCGTAGTTATGAGGATCCAGACAAAAAGATGTTTACGTGGGTTTTGTCAACAGGTTGCTTCGCTTGGGCATGTTGGATTTGAGCATGATCAGCCACCTGTAGAACGAACAGGAATGTTTCTGGTGAAGAAGAAGGAGGTCGCCAGAGGCTGATTTTTGACTGGGAGAACCCTCTTTATTTTGCTTCAGCAGATCTTGCCAATGCTTTTTACACAATGTCGATGCCGCAGGAACTTCGTCAGTTTTTTGGGTTGCGATCCTTGACAGCTGGGGAAGCAGGTGTCGATGAAGTGGATGGCATCAAAGTTGGACCGGAGCACTTGGTTCACCCCCGCATTGCCGTAGTGCCCATGGGGTGGAGCTGGGCCATGTACTGGTGCCAACACATCAACGAACATCTGTGTGAGGAGGCTGGCTTGACACCTGAGGAGCGCTTGAGAGATGGGGAGCCCGTGAAAGCGGGCTCATTCTGGCATATCCAATATGTTGACAACCTGCACCTTTTTGGGACAGACAAAACAGTGGTTGAGAACAGCTTTTGGAAGGCAGTTGAAAGGTTGAGGAGTGCTGGCTTGACAGTCCATGAGATTGAAGTTAGTGAAGGCAGCGCCGAAGTCTTGGGCTGGAAGGTTGAAGAGGGTGGCATTTTGATGCCCACCTTGAAGAGTTTGTGGCGTATACGCACTGCAATCCGAGAACTCCTGCGAAGAGGACGTGCTAGCGGCTAGCGGGCAGCAGCTCGAGCGGTTGCTGGGACACATGACCTTTGTTTCACTTTGTCGGCGAGAAGCGCTCTCGGTGCTCGGGGAGCGCTACACCTTTTGCAAGTTGCAAGCGACACTACAAAGCAGTGGTGCCCTTGTGGAAAAGTGTGCGCAAGGAGTTGGCAATTTGGGATGGCACTAGTGTTCTCATTTACAGCAACATGCGGAGGTGTTGGTCTAGCACAGTGTATGCCGTCGATGCTTCGGAGTGGGGTCTGGGGGTCACAACCAGTGAGTTTGCAACCTCAGAAGTGCGGACACTTGGATCTTTTCTGGAGCGTTGGAGGTTTAAGGATGAGGCAGCTAGGAATCCAAGAGCTATTGCAAGGGCATCAGATGAAGCTGTTTTTGGAGGGGCAGGGATTGCAGACCAAGCAATGGACACCAACACCTTTCAGATTGTTGGTTTCTGGGCCGTTGATCGGGACTGGCAGGTCGTTGGCAGAAGCAAGTGGGCACAGCAAGAGTCTACGCCAGTGTACGAGGCTCGAGCGTCGCTTTTTGCCGTGAAGCATGCTTTGAGAAACGTCACAAATTTTGGCAAGAGGCATGTTGTTTTGACAGATTCACTTACTGCTTCAGTCGCATTGGACAAAGGGAGAGCCCATGGTCATCGGCTCAGAAGAGTTGTTCAGCAGGTCTCAGCACTTTGTCTTTGTTCAGGTTGTATTGTTAGATCTAGGTTAGGTGGATCCCCAGTGAGTGGAATCCTTCTGACAAGCCTTCGCGCGGGGGTTACGTTGCCTCAGCGCCGGAGCGATGCTTTGGGGATGATCCACCGCCCACCGCCAGCTGGGTGTCCAGGTGACGTGGGATCGGGCCACCAACAAGAAGAGTGGGGAGGTGAAGAAAAAACCAAAGGTGAACACACCAGTGACCAGTGGTTACAACTCCATCTGCTCCTCTGACATGGGGCATCGAACTCAGTGCAGACTCGGGACAGCGGAAGCAGCAACAGAGGTCGCAGAGAAGAAAACAGTATCAGGTAAGCAATCCGGGCTTCAGCCTTCGAGAGGCTTCAGTGGGCCCGCTCACGAAGAAGAAGTACGAGGCCATGTGGGAGCAGTTCCAGACATGGTGTGGAACCCGGTTGCGAGCCACTATGAACAAGAGTCGACTAGATATCCTGCTGACAGAATACCTCGAGTTTCTGTATCTAGAGGGGGAAGACCTGAGCAAAGCAAATTACGTGGCAGCAGTGTTGTACAAGGTGCCGGGTACAAAAGGTTCGCACTCATTGCCAAAGACTCAGCAGAGCATGAAGGGTTGGAGACGCCTGTGTCCACCCCGGCACGAATGCCCGTGCCATCGAAGCTGTGTGCCTACTGGCGATGGCTGCTTTGCAACTGCACCAGATTCAGATTGCCTTGATGCTGCTCTTGATGTTCCACCTATACCTTCGGCCCTCGGAACCATTCCGGATCCGGGTGCAAGACATAGTGGCGCCTGTCAAGTAGGGCGGAAGGAAGGTGTACAAGCACTATGCCTGCTGCATCCAAACGAAGAGGGCGTCCCCTCAAAGACGCTTCAGTTCGACGAGATGATCAGCTTGGACATGAAGCACCAGAGTTTCTTGGGGCCAGCCTTGGAGAAGCATCTGCGGCTGAACAGTCGCAATCGGTCGGAACCGGCCTTCAGCATAGATCAGAGCGAGCTGGTTTCGTTTGTGGAGACTCATTGGGAGCCACTCGGCCTGAAACCACTGGGGGCTCCCCACCTATACCGGCTGAGACATGGAGGAGCTTCGCACGATGCTGCTATGGGCCTACGGGAATTGACAAGCATCCAGTCCCGGGGCCGCTGGCAGACAGTGAAATCCCTCAAGAATTACACAAAGGGGGGAAGGCTGCAACAACTCTTCAAAAAGCCTAGATCCAAGCGTGCAGCGCCAAGGCACTCAGGCCGTTCAGCAAGCAGAAGTTTCCTGTAGCTGCCTTGTTGTGTCGTTTTGTGCCGCATGGATCCTTTTTCTTGGAGATTTTTTCTGGGGAGTGGACATTTGGCTAGTGCATGTTTGCTGTGGGACATTTCACTAGGACCTGCATACGACTTGACCAAACGCTGCAACCAACGTCGGATCCTTCACTGGCTTGAACAGGGTTACATATCTGGGGGGCACCTTGGTACTCCCTGCAACAGTTTCTCTTGAGCTCGGGATCGGCCAGGGGGCCCGCCGCCGCTACGCAGCGACCAGAGACCCCTAGGGCTTATGTACTTTAGCTGTCGTGTTTTACAACTGGCACTTCAACTGCATGTACCCTTCACCATGGAAAACCCCAGCCGTTCAAGACTGTGGATTTCATCAGTGTTGCGAGTCATGCGCCGCAGATTTGTTCAGACGGTTGACGTCACCTATTGTGCTTTTGGAACTGCTTGGAAAAAGCCTACAAAAATTCTCGGAGTTCACATTGATTTGTCAATTCTTGAGTCACATTACTGCCGAGGAAGCAAGCGAGGGCTTTGTTTGTTCACTGGTAAACCTCACCTGGCCTTGATGGGGCAATCGGGTGGGATCTGGCGTACAAAACTTGCAGAACCCTACCCAAGACCTTTTTGTCGACTTCTGGCCAAATGTTTTGATAATGTGGAGCTTGCGTTGACTGCGCAAGACAAGGTTGGGTGCATTGAATGTGATGCCTCTTTCTTCGAACTTGGCCTTTAGTCGTGAATGTCTTCAAGACG